TATCAACAGTAATTTCAAGGCCCTCCTTGCGAAAAATTTTTCAGAGCGAGTACCAGAACTATTAGAAGAGAGAAAACGCTATGAAAGCCTCTAAGAAACGGTCGGGCCTGGCGAAATCCACTCGATCGACGGATTTAAACATCCGCCACTATTGCAAAATGTAAAAAAAACAAAGACATTATCGGAACATAATCGTACTTACATGCCAAACAGAAATACAATAGTTGCACCACTTCTCTAACAAAAATCTTGCACCTCGACCGTAAGATCATGCCGCCTTAACTGCATCTGCTAAGGCACACTGCGGCACGGCAAACGAATGAAGCAACCTGAACATCTTTAATGATTCTGTAGCACCGATAACGGTTTCACAATTAGAACCGGCAAAGTATTGAATTTCGTTCAAGCATTGGTGGTCATACTGAAAAACGACTAAAATGCGGTTTCTAAACGATAAGACAAAAACGTTCATCCAATCCTTGAGAATGTACATCTGTTATCACGCTAGAAAGATTTGCTGGAATAGATGACAAATGCGTTCTTCACACCCTGCGCAGCCATGGTCTTTACCCTTTATCCACGCTGCGCTTTGGGGAATACAAACAAAGAGAGTTAACGCCATGTGCTTCAATGCACCATTTGCTATCAAGATGCAGGGAATGGATGGTTCACAGCAACTCGCCATGGATGTCATATATTTCCAGGTTCAAACGAAATTTTTTAGTGGAATACGGCAAAACGTATTCTCTGGGATCACAAAACCCACGTATGCCGCATGAGCAAATTACTGCGGTTCTCAATAATCTGATTTGAAGCTAGGACCTATTCAACGATGTTTCGGCCTTCCTGAAACTACACGGCTCTCCTTGTATCTTTGAGTTGTATACTTCGTGGCACATCATTTCTGACACCTCTACATAAATGTTTTAGGTGTTCTCAATAAAGCAGCTCCGCAATGATTGCAGTACTCCATAGTCCACTAAAATTTTATTATCCAGTCGATTTGTCATTTCCCCTTAGCAATTGCACTTTGAGAGGACATGTGTGTACGCCAGTACATGTACTTATTACCTAATGTTTTAGGAATTTCAGGGAAAAATTTATCTATCACAGGAACACTGATACTTTTCAAGCATTTTGCCTCTTGAATGACTTCATCTACAGATTGACTAAATGCCGATCCCTGCTCCCATTCAGACGGGTCTACCTGTAGCTGCTTGGCGTTAAGGAATTCCTCAGAGTACTCTGCACATTGCTGAAGTATGTCATCATCATCGATAAGAGGATGACTAAGCCTTGTTCCTCAGGACTCTAAGATGACCCTTATTTTCTCCTCGGATGCAGCGAATGCTATGCGAGAATATCACTCTTTTGTCAGAAAATTCGACTCCAACACCTTACCATCGTTTTTCACAGAATCAGCTTTCGCTTTAGCCACTGATTTCTTTGCCATCTCATGTGTCTTCGTACGGCATTCTAGTTGAAGGCTGTTTTAGCCTGCAAGCGATCTATCGAATGCAGTAGCCTTTTACTCGCAGACAGAGAGGTGAACCTTTCCTGTATTGGAAGTTTGTTTCTGACATCCATCGGCCTTAAACTGCAGCTTTCACTGACAGCCATGGAAAAATTCATGACAGCCATCAGCAGTAACAACTCAAGTCTTTTCA